TCCTCCTCCTCCTTCTTCTTTTCTCTCTCTCTCTCTCTCTCTCTCTCTCTCTCTCTCTCTCTCTCTCCCCCCTCTGTGGTACTGGGGATCGAACCCATACACTAAGCTATGTCCCCTTCCCTTTTTAAATTTTTAAATTTTGAGAAAGACTGTAGCTAATTTAACCAAGCTGGGCTAGAATTTGTGATCCTCCTGCCTTAGTCTCCCAGAGTGCTGGGGTTGCAGGCATATACCACCACACCTAAGCTACAAATTATTTTTTGATATGGAGAAAGAATAAAGGTGATGTACATTTTGGGGTATTTTAGAATAATGGCCATGTGATGCTGGAATAATATCTGTGAAGACAGTGAAGTAGGCCACTGAATTAATTGCAGCTTTGGTGAGAAATCAAAAATTGATATTTAGATTTGCAAATTAGCATATATCTTAACTGAAACCATAAAGATAAGTATTTTCCCCAGGAAGAGTTAGAGGAGGGTCAGAGGAGAAAATCAGTGTATATCAGCATTTGATCAATAAGTGGAGGAAAATAGAGCTGTGATGGGATTGTGAAGGAGCAGTTGGACAGCACTTGGGTCTATTTATCTGCTAGGACTGCTAAATTCCTAGCCATGTGCCCTGTGCCCATGTCTCCACATGGCCATGTCTCTGTGTGTGCATCCCTGATGCCTCTGCATTCTGTAAGTTCACCAGTCATGTGGATCAAGGGTTTCATTTAACCTTAATTACATTTATAAAACCCAATCTCCAAATATAGTCATCTTGGGGATTAGGGCTTTGACATAGGAATTTTGGGAGAATGCAATACAATCCTTAACATGGGGATACAGTAGCAACATGAAGTCAAAGAGGAGGGAATGATGAAGGGGAGAGATGAGCAAACCAGTATTTAAAGCAGCGGAGAAGTCAGGTAAGCTCTGGACTGGAAAGTGCCCACAGGCTGTGCCAGGTGAAGACAGGGTATGAACCAAGCAAAAGAAATTTCCAAACAGAGAGGTGCCTGCAGCTGGCTGATGAATGCATAAGAGATGAGGAACTACCAACAGCAACAGGCAGCTTTGCTCACTCCAGAATCACCCAAAACACTATAATTACAAGAGAAGTTTAGAGGGGGAAGACATTCCCTCTACCCTCTGAGAATTTAATAACTGAGTCTATAAAATGAACTGACAAAGGGGAGATTAATGGGAAAAAATGTAAACAAATTTACTATGTACATCACAGAAAAATGAATCTCAAAGACCCAGTGATCAGTGATTTAGGAGTTCAAATACACTTTCTATGGGAACAGGAGGAGGAGGATGTAGATCATCCAGAGGAGGTAAATGATTTTGGGACAGATAAGCAGACAAAGTGTGTCTCGCTGTGGTTTCTACTTCTAGTCTGTTCTCCTGTGATGAGTTGACGTTGATGAAACTCTCAAGGAGGCCCCTGGTGATAAGTGGGATGGTTTAGGTGGATTAGGGCAGTTCAGAAAAAGCCCCTCCTTTCATTTGCTGTTCTCCAAGGACCTTCAAGTCAAAGTAATCAGTATAACAAGCTGCATATTTTAGAGTGGCATTTCTCCAGTGCCTCTATGGGTCAGATCAACCATTTGATCAGTTTTTTCCAGAGAGCAGGCTCTGGAGTCAGGTAGGGCTAAATTCAGACCTGGGCTCTGCCTTACTCTGTGACCTTTGCCAAATAATCTTCCTAATCTTTAAATTCTTGCTGTATAAGGGAAGGTTAGAATATTACCTATAAGGACATGCTCCAAAATGCTAACAAAAATCATCTTTGGGTAATGGATTAAGAATTACTTTTGTAATTAAAAAATATGCTTTTTCTCAAAAAGAATTTATTGTTTTCTGACAACACGTGGCATAATGACAGATTCTATCAATATCTGTGAAGAAACAAAAACAAAGGAATAGAGTAAGAGAATGGACGCTCAGTTTCACCTCTATTCGAGATAACCCTGGTTGAGTACTTCTTATCTGTAGGGCAAAGAGTGGTAATCAAAGGTGAACAAAGGGTATTGTGTGATTTCAAGGACTTTACAATTTGTGATATAAAATTTAAAACATAAATAAATCACTAAAACATAGCGCATGTTAGATTGGAACAAATATTTAAAAATCGGTTAAACACTCTCATTGGGTCCTCTGGTTACATGTGGCTGGAGAAATCACAAATGTTTCCAGGAGAAGCTAGCACCTTGGGTGACCCATAAAGGTGGGCATCACTCGGGAATTAACCTTTGTCTCAGTGCTTACTGATTTGCTTCACAACAGAGGGAAAATTAACCCAGAGATAAGAGCAGAGAAGGCAGAATGATTGACGCAGGAGGAGTGGAATCTCCCTGTCAACTGCTTTAGCTGCCACTAACCTCAACAGCTGCATGTCAAAAGGGCAGGACAGTACGATGATTTTCTTCCTTCAGCACAACTGAGAAACATAGGTTTAAATCATCCACACTTTACTTCACTTCAGTTGTGTACCTGTGTGCCGAGTTTCTAAAGCCAGAAAGAGAAGACTCAAGTTGTTTAACTTTGGTTCACGTTTATTTTTATTGTTTTTCAATTTGGTAAGGGCTTAGAAATTGCCTTTCTCATCTTAAAACTCTGAGTGAGGCTTTTATTTTGTTTCCATTTACAAATTGCATATTCAGATTTCTGCATATATTTAACTGCCTATAAGAATACACAGAAAATCATAGCAAGCCAAATATAAATGAGGTGTAAAAACAATGTCTTCATTACGAGTTTCAGACTTCTCTTCAATAAAAAACCCAAAAGGATGACTATATTGACAAAATCCTCAGAGTGTTAAACTGCAAAATATAGTAAATGAGTTCACATCTCTAATTTCATTTTTTACAAAACTGGGGATTAAACACTGGGCCTTTGCCCTGAGCTGTATCCTCATCCCTTTAAAATAGTTTTCTTTTGGGCCTGGGATTTAACTCAGGGCCAGGGATTTACCTCAGTGGCGTAGTGCCTTCTTTGAAAGTGCAAGGTTCTGAGTTTGATCTCTGGTACTGGGGGGGGGGGGAAGGTTTCTTTTTAAATGTTTGAGATAGAGTCTCACAAAGGCACTAAATTAGTTGTCTAGGTTGGTCTCTTGGACTTGCAATCCTCCTGCCTGACATTCCCAGAGTGCTGGGATTACAGGTGTGGACGACGATGCCAAGCTCATTACAATGATTTCTGAAAGACTAGCTTGCACTTGGCAATGCTCAATTCAGACTCTCCTCAACTTCACAGACAACTGAGGACGAAATCAGAAATGTTAAAAGTAAACAAAATTAAAATCATATTAGTAGTATGTAATGTAAAACCACCAAGTAAACATTTGCCATGGTATCAAGTAGTTCAAATCCAGCTTCTAATAATACAAAGCATGTCTTTTCAATAGCTGTAATCTTTGGAATTGATTGGGAACATACTTCAGTGCTTTTTGAGGAGCAAGAAATTTTTTTTACGCTCTACAGAGGAACTTGAACAAACTTAGTGGGGAAAAAGAAGAAACCCACATACTTCTCCATTCTTAGGAAAAGGAAGTAGTGGTGACATCACCCTCCCCTGAAATCTAACATGTTTATATCTTGAATCTTAAGTACCATAATGCCTTCTGCAGAGTTATGAAGTAACTATGACAGATGAACACATTTTTGTCTTAATATTTATTACCTCATCTGTTCACTTAGTCAACAAATGTTTATTAAGCACTGATGAGATGTCTGGTACTGAGAATATAATAGTAAGTAGAGGAAACTATATAGTGCCTACTTTCAAGAACTCTGGAGTTGAGTGGGGGATAGGAATAGAAATTAAAGAATGATCCAAATAATTATAAAATTGCTGCTGTAATAAGTGATACAAAATTCCACATGGAGCCATGGGAATTATAATGAAAGATCTACTCAAGGAGCTCAGGGAAAGCTTCCTCCCTCCCTCCCTCCCTCCCTCCCTTCCTTCCTTCTTTGCCTGCATACTGGGGATAGAGCTAAGGACCTTCACACAGAGCTTCATCCCCAGTCTTTTTTGTATTTTTTATTTTGAGACAGGGTCTCACTAAGTTGTCCAACCTGGGTTTGAACTTAAAATCCTTGTGCCTCCCTCTCTCTTAGTGCTGGGATTACGGGTATGTCCACTATGCCCAGTGCAAGAATTTGATTGCTATCTTTGCTTCATCTCACAAGCAGTGGGATGCCATCAAATTATTGATGATGTTGGAATTGCCAGATTTGCAATTGAATTTAGCTCAGCTTTAGTTTGAGGAACTGAATGAAAGAGTCTAGAAAGGCCTTGAGGGTGCCTGGTTGGGAGATTTTGCTGGGGTGTGGTGGGGCACGCCTGCAATCCCAGCTCTGGGGAGACTAAGGCAGAATTTTAACAAGATTCCCACCTGATCAATATGCACATTAAAGTCAGAGGAAAGCCTCTGAGCTTTGACCTACACTAAGAACATTTTACAATGTGCCCGTGTATGCATATGCACGTAACGGAAACTAAAGTTCAGTGAAACAATGCATGCAGTTAGTGTATTAGAAAAAAATCTTGTTTACCACTCACTAAGTAGATCTCAGGGTCCACTCCTGGGTCTCGACTGGTGGTTTGAAAACCCAATTCTAAAGCACCCAGAAACAGTCCAAAGAGGGCTGGGGGTGTGGTGGAGCAGATTCTCCTTGAGGTGCAATGGAAAGTGTAGAAAGTTTCTACTCTGTTACTTTGGGAAACGCGCGCACTTAGTCACTCCTGACTAAATACTTGGAGCAAGGAACTCCAGAGTGGTGTGGGAGGGCGGTGAGGGGCAGCTGAAAGTTTGCCAAGGCGCTCTGAAGGGTTGGTCTGGGGACGTGATTGGCAGCTAGGAGAGGGGGGAGGACTGGAAGCCCAAGAGAGGGAGAAGGCTCTGCGGCGGCGGGAGGTCCTGCCCAGCTGTTGGCGAGGAGTTTCCTGCCCCCCCCCCCCCGGCACCCGGGTAAAGTTGAGTGAGTCACTCGCGCGCCCCAGCCGACGACACTCCCGCGCGCACACGCCTGGGGCAGGAGCCGGCCTCCTGCGCAGCTCCCCTCGGCCGCTGGGGGCCTCCGCCGGCCTCCAGGTCCCCTCCTCGCCGGCCCGCGCGTCACATCTGGCCGCACATCTGCCCGCCCCTCCCAGCGCGGGGTCCCGAGTGGGCGCGGCGCGGAGGCTCAGCCAGGGGTCTGGGAAGGCGCTGCCTCGGGCTCGGTCTATGAGGAGCACCGGGGTCTGCCATGGGTCGGCGGCTGCTCCGGGGCCTGTGGCCGCTGCACATCGTCCTGTGGACGCGCATCGCCAGCACGATCCCACCGCAAGTTCAGAAGTCGGGTGAGTGGCTCCCGGCAGGGCTCGGTCAGGCGCCGGGGTGTCCCGGGCTCCCCACCCCTTGGCCGCCTTGACAGTCCGTCCGGGACCCGGCGCTCGGGCGGAAGCGGGACGGTTCTCCCTCGGGCCCCGGCAGCCTGACTCCTGTGGCCGCGGGCATGTGAGTTTTTCTTGAAAAACCGAAGGGAAGTTCAGCTGCAAAGGGGCGCGGGGCACGTTCGTCCCCTTTGTGCGAGCAGGAAAGGCGTTGTGTTGGCCGAGATCGAGGCGAGCCCTCACCCCCGGAAAGGGAAGTTTGAGAAGTTGGTTATCCGAAAGAGGCCGTGGAGAGGCAGCCCCGGGCGGCAGCGTTCACCTGGGGCCGCTGCGGCCCGGGCGACGTCTGAGCCCACCGGCCCTTCCCGGGTCACCCTCTCCAGTGACCCAGTCCTTAGCTCCTAAAATGACCCTTCCTTCCCCAGGCCGGCTTCTTGGCCCGAAGTTATTGCACACAAGTTTCAAGAAAAGAAGCGATTTCCAAAGGAAAGTGGTCAGGGTTGGCCTACGGGCTGGGCAGGAGTGCGGGTGGTCATTGGCCAGGTAGAAGACCGAGGCTCCTTTACCTAGCGCCAGGTAGGTACTAGGCCCAGGAGATGCTGCCAGCTGCCACACAGTCCTGCCCTCAGGGAGTTGATGTTTTGCCCCAGTTACCTCTGATGAGGACTGGATGGTAACAGTGTACATCACCTACCTCCTGATCCCTGTCACAGATTTTAGTGGGGGAATAAGTAGAAATTGGATTCTTAACGACTTATATAGGAAGGGCAGAATCCCTGAGACCTGGCAGGTTGGAAAATTCGCAGCTGTGAGCCACACAACTGAATATCTGCAGCTATGGCCTGGGGCTGGGCACTTGGTCAAGTTGTGTGGCTTGTCTGGGGCCAAGTTTCCTCATCTGTAAAACAGCATGGTTCGAATTGGACAGTATTACATCACCTAAATATTTCATATCTCACACCCCACTTGTGGGGGTGAGGGATTTGGCTATGCCCTGTGTAGATTTTGAATGAAGTGTAGAGGATTTGACATTCCACATCACACCGAGGCACACAAGGGGTTCAGGTGGGTTTACCTTTGGGTTTATCTAGAAGAAATATGCATGCGGGCTAAGTGGTAAATTTCAGGTTATTTGAAGGAGACTGAAAACTTTTTAAAACTTTGGATTATACTGAAAGTGACATGGAGATGAAATTTTTTAATGGAATGAGGAAGAGGCACTATTGCAAGCAAAAAATCCTCGCACAAATTTGAGTTTCCAGTTTAATAAAATCTCAGTGTTTTCTTCTTAGCTGTTTTCTTACATTGCAGTACTAGAATGTTCAACTGTCTCTAATTATACTCCAGACTCTTTAAAACTGACTTATATCTTGCTAATAAATATTACACTTGGCACCCTTAATTTTCTGTGTACATAAAACTTTTGTTTCAGATCATTAAAGGAAGAAATTAGCAGGTCTTTATTTGGTTAAATTTTGTTTACAAGGATAAGATTTATGATTTGCAAATTCCAGACTCAATAGTTCATGAGTCAGTTTCATTTCATCTATATACACACTTTTAAACAATTAGTTTAAAAGCCTGGTGGTCTTTATTTGGGTTTTAGAAAATTAACAGATTTCATATTTTTATGGGGAATTGAAGTTTTAAAATGGTTGAACTAAGGATCATTTTGAATTTGCATTTATTAGTTTAGAATTAAGTTTTCAAAGATGTTAAAGGTAAAATAACTATAATGAAGATGAAAACCCTAATTCTGCTGTATTTAAATTTTCCATATAAATAAATAGTTTCAGGCTTTTCCTAACATAATTGGTAAACTGAAAATATTTTTCAAAATACCTTAATGTAAGATAATATACCAGGAAATGAGATTGTTTACAATTTCCTATTTGGTTATTTAAAAAAAACCAAAAAACCTTCAGGTTGGTAGCTTTACAGACAAATGAAGGATTTCAGTTTAAGAACACATTTCAATAAGAAATATATTTTAAACTTATTTATTTATTTATTTATTTATTTATTTGGTATAGTCACTCATCCTAAATTATCAAAAATAAGAAATGACTCTTTGTGAGAAGCTTGGTCTGAATAGTTCAGATGTGAAAAATACTATTTTTTACTTTTCAGATACCTAAAAAGAGATCCTTGTTGATAATAGGGTTGCAGGGATTAAACCTTTCCTAAAATCACCTTAACAGCGTGCTTACCTTGCCAGGGTCAAATACTAGAAATCATTAGACCCAGAATCTGATCTTTGGTCTACTTGTTTCCCCCATCCTCATCCCCAAAAGCATATTTTCAGCTCTAGGTCACTTCCTTTAATATCTTATTTTTAAAAAGTTATGGTTTATACAAAGTACTGACCACATTTTGAATTAATTATGTTCTCTTTTGACTTAAGCTTCTATGGTGATGACTCATTATTGTCTGGTATATTCAACAAAATTGTTACATATGTATTATTTCAGTTTACCATTCTTCAGTTATCAGTAGGACTTTTCATATTTTTCTTTTAGTTTTTAACTCTATTTTTCTAATCAATAATGGCACCTTTTGATGCCTTTGTAAAAAGTGGTCATTTTGTATTCTAATTTCTCAATAATACCTATTAAGTATCTCCTTCTTACAGGCAGGATTCTGAGACCTGGAGATACTATCCCCAGGGAATAAGACAGACCTGGTCTGTGCCCCATTGGCACATGGAAGTGTGTTATATGCAAGGGAAAAAAAGATATATATTTTAAATCTGTATACTTGGAAAAATTATTGAATTTTTTTTTATGTTTAGACTTCTGAATGTATTTTTTACCCTGATTTGTTCTTACTTTTCTGCCTGCCTTGTTACAGACCAACAATAGGGCCACCTTCATTCTACAGCCATCATGACCCACCTATTGTTTTCTTTGGGAATTAGTTGAAGGCAGAATGTAAGAAATACACTTTGAAATCGGGCCTTCATGGGTTCCAAACCCACCTATCATTTACTGGCTATGTAGCCTGTTGCAGTTACTCTACTTTTTATTCTTCAGTGCTCACATCTGTAAAATGGGGAGTATGGAGCCATGATGAAGGTTTAATATTGCTTTCAGATGCTTAACATAGTGTGTGCAACCTAGTGAGTGCTTGATAAATACCAGCTTCGATTATTAAGAATCTCTTAATCAGGCCTAACAAGGGCTGCAAAGAGCTGGTTCCCATCTGACTCTTCAGTCTATACTCCAAGGTCTACACTTCCTCAGTCCACTCACAGGACCATGCATAAGGACACTGTGAGCAGTTTAAGCAGCTGTGTCTTTGTTCAAATTGTTACCTCTGTCATGAACTCTTGCTACCTGACTCATTCTCCCTCATCTTTTAAGACTTATGTTATCTTTTAAAGAAACCTGCTTTGAATGCCCAAAGTTGAGCTAAGTGTCCCCTCCTGTGTACAGTTCTCTCTCTTAGCTTAGGACAATAGCAAGCTGAAATTGTATCTTTGTGGGGCTCCTTTCCCCCTGAGACTTTTTAGTCTCTCAAAGGCCAAAAGGGATCTAACTCAGTGCTCTATCTCCAGCAACTCTCCTGTGCTAGTGCTAGCAAACACAGAGTTGAGCCTCTACTACTGGATAGTGCAATGTAGGTGGAGCATTTCACAGCCAGGAAGTCACTGTTTATTGGGTGTTTGGTCTAAGTGGCAAAATCTTTGCTTTCAGTTGGGTTAGTTTTAGCTCTGTTCAATTTGAACAACAATTTGGCTGTTTTTATACTACATAATTTGTGCTAGCATTCTGATAAAATAATAGAGAAAGATATTTGAACTTCTGACAAACATGATGAAAACCTGCTAGAAGTTTTTATCTAACCCTTTTAGCTATAAATTTTAAACTACTTTAAGATGTTCAAAGCCATTATAAAACCTTTGCAAAGATTTCATCAACAAAATTATCCAGTAAATACTGAATTCTCTTGTTTTCTAGAAGATTGTCAAAAGGAGACTTTCATTAAAAATGTAGCTCTGAACCTAAATTATGTTTTTTTATGAGACTTTTGTATTTTGGTTTATAAGCAGTGAGGCAGAGTTGGTCTAAAGGAAATGTGGTCTTGTAGCAGCCTCTACCTGCTGTAGAGCAGCTTGGATATTATTTAGGTCCGATGCAAACCACCAAAACACTGTAAAATAAGATACAAAGAACATACTTCCTAGCTACAACACAGAATTATTCAGTCAAGTTACACATAAAAGCATAGCTCTACCACCTTGTTAGCTTCTGCCCTCCACGTCCTTATGTGCAGTTTCAGCAGATTTAAATTATGATTTTCAGAAAAATGTCTAAGCAGACATGTGTTAACAGCAAAAATTCTTACCTCTTATTTTACGCTCCCCCCTTTCCTTGTAATACTTTGCTCTCCAGGTACTTGTTGCTTCTGACTAAACCAAGATAATGATGATTATATCTCTTTGTGTGGTGTGTCAGAGGGTTTGGAGTGCTACACCAGCAAAAGGGCTCATCTCAAGAAGTTAGGGGGAATGGAGAACTAACGTTTGAGAACTTGGTTTCAGTCAGCCATTTGACATTACCTATTTAATGTAATCTAAAAACAAAGCCTAGACTAAAAGATAAGTTTTATTATCTTTATTTTATAAATAGAAAGAATGAGCCTATTCAAGGTCACCTGGGAGTTGCCTGTGTGTGGTGTGTTGTGTGTGTGTGTGTGTGTGTGTGTGTGTGTGTAGTGAAACCAGGGAGGGGTAAAGAGATACCATATTTGAAAAAAGGGAAGCCTACAATCTAATATCAGTTTAGCACTCCTGATTAAAGGATTTGCTCTGCTTGTGTGATCTGCCTCTTCCTGACTGACTTTATACCACAGAACATCAAGATAAGGTAGAGTTGCTTAGCCAAGAAGGCATCCTGGTGGTGGGAACCATTGTGACCTCAGCTTTGACCACTGATAGAGGTAGGACAGGCATCATTTTCAGAGATGTGTGTTATAAACTTCAAGCATATGGACCATCAGTTGTGCACAGTGCTCAACAACTGCTGAGAGGGCAGGAAGGACAGATTTTATCCAGCATAATGAAGAGGGAGATAATTTGACTTTCGAGATTCTACAAATTTGAAGACTTGTAGATAGTAAAGCTTTTCCTCCTCTCCTAGGATTGCTTCTGCCTTTTACTGGCTGCCATCAGCTTTGTATATTTTCACACACAACATGGGGCAGCTTTCCCTTTGGGGATAGTCACCTTGTGACCTCCTGCTTAGGCTTTTAAAGGTTCCTTAGCATTTTTGTTTTGTTTCTAGGGTCAGAGCGACAAATCATCAGAAGGGATTTAGCTGCAGAGCAAGTGCCTATGACTGGTAAGATTAAGACTGGGAAAGCTCAAGACATGCAGCTTTTTCCTTTTTGCTTTTTCTCGTTGTTTTCTGATGGCATTTTCTTCTCCACATATTTTTGGCCTACAGTTGAGTATAAAAGGGTTTGGGCAGAAGAAGGCTCTGTCCTGTGCTTTAGAGGGTACTCTGCTCTTCTTTTTCTGTGCTGAGGCCCATGGCCATGAGGTGGGGACAGTTCTGGGCCCCTTCTAGTTCCTGTCTTTCCCTTTTTATAGATCCTGTTTTGGGTACCCCAGACTCCCTACTGAAGCCTCCTTTTGCAGTCTACAAGGACTTTTGAGTCTATTTTCCTCTAAGCCTTAGTGGCCACTAGTTGTAGACTTTCCTCCTGAGGGGTGTGTGTGTGTGTGTGTGTGCACATTTGAGAGAAAGTGAAAAGGGGCAAGGGAGAGAGAGAAAGACAGACACAGAGGAAGAGAATGGTGTTGGTTGTCCAGATGTGTTCATCTCACAGTGCCCCTCTTGGTTCAGAATGGAGTAGCCATGGAGAGGGGAAGGTGAAGAATCTGCCAGGTCCCTGTCCCCACTCCGTTTCTGAGGAGGGAACATTGTGTGTCATGTGTATCATATCGGAACAGTTGGGGGCTTCAGCTTGATCTTTCAAAAGGTTGGGAAGACACATTCTTCAGATAGGGTAAAAAAGTAAAACCTATTTTATTGAGCAGTTGTGTTTGTTAGCTTATTTGTAACTTTAAATATTTTGACATGTGGTATGTGGTCCGTATTCGTACTCTTTGTCTTTCATTGTTAGGGTGGATTTAGCATCAACAACTTACCTTTGCAAAAGTGTTGGGTAAAATTAGTTTTCGTTACTTGTAGCATGTTTTCCCTGGAGTAGAGAACATGCTTGTTAATGGAAAAGCTAAGAGTTTGTTCATAATCCCAGTACTGTATTTTCTTTGAAAAGTTCAGGTTTTCATAGTTTGTGTTTTCTTGAAGGGAACTGTAGCACTATCCATTTCACTTGTTTTCTTGAAGTTTCACTTGTACATATTTTAGACTTTTCAGTGCTTTAGTTTCATTTCTGCTGTATCGTGAGGCCACTAGAGCAAGGCGAAGCTTACTTAATGTTTTTGCTACTTGTAAATATTTTACTTGGGCAATCCAAGGCATTCTTATACCTCTCACTAAAGGAAACAGGAATATTAGGACAGTTTAGATCAGTAAAAAGCCTTCTCAAGCTATAAAAGTTATAGGATGTTCAAAGCTATGCATTTAAAGAATTATGGATTTGGCTGAACAAAACAGATGAATTTGGAGGAAAGGAAGGAGTTGGGTACATATTTTCAGCATTTACCACAGCAGGTTTTTATCTATTAAAGTTGTAAATTACAAAGGATTGATCAACTTGGGGAGGTAACTCACTGCTGCCTTGTGGATGACTGTGCCTCTTCCAAAATTCAGCAGACCCCTTCTACATAGAGAAAGGAAATTGCCCTTATGTCCCTTGTAGTTTTTCACTCAAGAGCCTTCATGGAAAAATATCCCAGTAATAGTAGTAGTTATTGCTTACAGAGCTCTTACAATTGCCTGGATCTTGCTGAACATTTTAACTTTCAAAAAAACTTTACAAGGTAGATTTTGTACAGGTCTGTATAAGTCCTGCAGAGATTAAGATATTTGCCTAAGGCTGTCCAGTTGGTGAATGATTTTGCTGGGATTGAAACCACAATGGTTTAGTTTAGGGATCTAAACCTTGAATTGTTATTCCATACTGAGACCAGGCTGCTTGAGTTGACATAAACCCCTTGTCCATTATAGTAGGTTATTGGAAGACTCTAGGGGTTAAGACAAATAATGGTAATAGTCAACCTTTTTCTAGTACTTTAGCATTTTAATATATTATCTTATTTAATTTTCTTAGTGAAATAAAATAATGTTTGGTTCATATACCAGGTAGTGAAACATGCCTGACGTGACCTCAAGGGAAAAATAAAGAATGTGCATCAAGTGATGCAACAGTGATGTTATCAGGGAGTTCCAGTATCCAGTGTCAAGTAAAACAGGCACTTTATTTGGAGAGGTGGGGGAAGTTCTATAAGGTAGAACCTATAAGTCCTATAGTCCTATAAGATAGGACAGGCCCAGGTAGACTTAATATGAAGTGTTTGGGACTTAACCATTGAGATTCCTCTGTGGTAGAGGCCAGACTGGAGGTCCTGGGAGAGACCTGGCATTGTGATGGACAGTTGTCACAAGTCTGTCAATATTTAAGAAACTATGCAATGCCCTGAATCGTATAACTTATGTATATATAAACAAACTTGATAGAAGTTTCCCAAATTTGAAGGTACAGTAATCCAAAAGATTTGTAAGACATTATCTATAGTGAGTTAAGAGCTAGAAAGAAAAATTTGCAAAATAGTCAAGAATAAATTCCAAATTCTGATCAGTAGTTCTAGAGAAAAACTGAATTATTCTTTTATTCTCTCAATAGATAATATTGCCAAAGCATTGAGCAGATCAAAAAGTATGTGTATAAAAATGAAGGAAAATATTTCAGAGGTGTTTCAAGTAGCTAATTGATAAAAATACTTGTTTTCTGTTAAACTTTTTGTGGTATGTGTAGCTTTTGTAGTTTGTATGAGGCTGGATCCATTGTAAATAAATACTCACTTTCATACCCACATTGCTATTTTAATTTTTTTTTTCAAAGACTGCTCCTGAGATTTGTAAGCTTCACCTTCCACAAGATGTAAACCTGTATGTAAAGGGTGTGTTTGTGTGTTGCCCTAGAAAATAAATTTTACAGTACCTCCTCTTCCTTCCCCCACTGAGGGGACTGAAATTGGCATTGTTATGTTACCAAACCAAAACTTTATTTTCCCTGGGTTAGGTAAACCCTTCATCATTTTCCTAATTTAGACCCCAGTGCCAAGTAGAAAAGTAGTTGCAGATATGTAATTATCACAAAACCTTGATCTTGAAAGAGGTAACCCGGAGCTGACCCTTAGTTTAAGATCACAAAGGGTCTGCCTAGGAGACAGGCACCCTGTTTCCCTTGACATAAGAACTAATGTGAAAATAATCAGCCTTGGAAACGAGAGATCAGAAATGTCAGCCCCAGTCAGCTTAACCTTGCTTTACCTGCCTTACTTAGTAGCCACCAAACAAGAGAATAGTGAGGGCATTTTTGATCTCTAGTTTTCAAGGCTGATTATTTTTGGATTAGGTCTTATTTTTGTGAAATGTGGCAGTAGGGAGTGAAACACGTGGCTCCAGGAATCAAGTTGTAAACTGAACCAGGTTAAGTTATAGTCCCCCAGGGGGACCTCATCTTCCTTCTATGCACACAAGGGTTGGACGAGATGCAAACATCCAGTTCTTTAGTTACTAGAGGAATTGTTAAAGTGGACTTAGAAAGCATTTACATATTCTTAGCTAATCAAAATAGAAAACTATAAATGTTGTAAGCGGTCGAAATTGCCAAATGCCACAAACATGTACTTAAGAGGTTTTTGGAGGTAACTATTACAAAAATAAAAGTAAAAAAGGAAAGAAACTATACTTATTTCAAAAATGTCCAACTGCAGGTGTCTCAGTATACATCCTGACTAAATAGCATGTTTACTTCGGGTGGAATTCGCTCCTACTGGCTAAAGAAAAGTCTTGCTTGGTTTGGGTGATAATATCATTTTTCTTTGGTTAATTATGGTATTTTCATTCTCCTCTTCCTCTGTATCAGTAAAAATGTCTGTACAGGTTTTTCTTAAGAAAGAAAATTTTGAAATTCCCTGCCATGTCCAGAAGTGAAACCCAAAGGAGCTTGCATGTTTTTTGAGAAAAGAAAGGAAACTTGTCTGGATATAATTAGTGTTCTGCTGCCTTTCAAAGATATCTCCATCACTTTTCTGAAAATATTCTCAGCAAAGACAGAATTTGCTACAGACTGCCAATCTTCAGGGTGCTGTTTTAGGAATGGGAGGAGTTGCTGAGGCCCATAATTGCATTTCCGTAGTTGACAAATACTTGTTAGCACAAAATAGGAATTTTTTAACTGTTGTTTTGTGTGACACTTTTGTTACTGCATATGACATCTATGTTTTAGTCTCATCTATCATACTGGGGTTGTGTGGGAGGACCATATGGTGTAATTTGTCCTCCGAAAGTGTGAAAGGGGTAAAATAATTGATTCTGATGTATTTTGAATTCAATATGTTGGTATTATTATTTTTAAAATAATACTGAAGATTGAATCCAGAGCCTTTACACTGAGTTCCATCTCCAGTCTTTTAATTTATCTTTTGTATTTTGGGACAGGGTCTCATTAAGTCCTTAACTTTCCAAGGTTGGGCTTGAACTTTATGCTCCTGCCTCATTCTCCCAGAGGGCTGGAATTATAGGCTTGTTCCATCATGTCTGGCTCTGAATCTCTTAAGCTACATTGTTCTAAAATAATTTTTAGCAATCTTGACCCAACGTGGGTACTCTGACTTTTATTTCTGTAATTTTATCATTAGAATAAATGTCTATTATCATAATTTGTGTCACCTTTCTTATTACATGGAGTTTTAATCTAATGAAAGAAGTCAGCAGTCTTTTCCTTTGCTGTTGTCTTGGGTTTTCCAGTTATGTGACCTGATTTGTTCTACTTTCTTACTCCTTCAATAGTGTCATTCTGGCATTGAGGCCCAAATCTTACTGTCTAACCCTGAAGGCAGTGGTTTTCTGTCACCTCCTGATAGCACCAAATGAAGGCATCCTAATAACTTGCTGTTCTTTTTTTTTTTTTTGTACCAGGGATCGAATTAGGGACCTTGCGCTTGAGAGGCAGGCGCTGGAACCCCTGAGCTAAATCCCCAGACCAAACTTGCTGTTCTTAATGATCCATTAGCATCAATGTCACTGAGAATTTTGTGGAAATGCAATCTTGAGTCCTTCCCAGGGCCACTGCCTTGGAATCTGCGTTATATCAAAATCCCAGGTGATTCTGCACCATTTATAGTTTGAGAAGCCCTGCTCTA